GTCATGCTGTATTCTGAAGGGAACATCCATGAGGGAACCCAGTTCTGTAAACAACTAATTCATACAGAAGCCTTCAAGTCAGCAAAATTTCATTCAACATCTGCAAAACAATGTTTACTGGAAGCTGAAATAGCAAGAAAGAAACCCAAACATCCGTAGAAATGTAACAACTATCAGAAAAAAAATCAATTATTAGCTAACATTATTAAAAAGTTGTTGGTCACTTTAAAATTAGGCTGGTGGGGCAGAGTAAGGCTTCCAGCTGCTGAATGTGAGGGTAAGGAAGGGTATTGAGAATTGACCTCGACAACGGCAGAGCTGGCATCAATTACCATCCACTCCAATTGCCAGAATCAGCCAGCTCGGAATACAATCAGCTGATGTTAAGTGCACGTGCATCATGGCTTATTGTGCAATTTGCCATGAGTGTTCACATGCCCTATGCATGGTTTGTGTGGTCTAAGTGCATACGTAGCACTTAAAAAAAAACAAATGTCAATGGTTTAATTTCTCATCCATGTGCATTCAATACGTGTTTTAACAAATCTGTTTAATCACATCTTCTCTTCCACTTTTGATACACTTGTCTTTATAAAAATTCTCTCTCATTCAAGTTGATGGCCCCAGTGGATTCGTCGTCTACACTCCTTTATTTTCAAGAGTGTGTGTCTTGGGCATTTACGATAAACGTTTCTTTACTCATCTGCCACCAGATCTATTGGAGCTCATAAAGTACTATTGGGCCTTATCTCCTTTGCTAAAGTTTCTCAATATTCAACATTTATCCTGAAGTGCAAGAACATCCTTTAGGTCTTCTTTGGAACTAAAAAAAAAAATTGAAAACTCTTGGTCGCATCTCAACTCTCATTGCTAATAAGAGAGAGTTGCCTCTGTACATCTTTTTCATAAACGTCAAGGCCAGACATTCGTTCATTCTGTTTTCTTCCTTTTCCCTAACCCACTGATCCAAGCCCTTCATTAACATTTGTCACAGTCTTGTCTCTGAATGTATGTCTTTCTCCACACTCTATCCCATCATCAGTCAGGTGCTCTCTGACCACATCCTGTCCCTGATGCTATTTTCTTGATTCCACAACTTATCACTCAACTGTTATGAACACCCAATGTTATTTTCTGAACCCATTAAAGCCTTGTGTTAACGTACCCTATCCTGAAGCGCTGTCTCCATCCCCTTCAAATCTGCTGTGAGCTCTTCTGTCCACAAACATCCAACCTTTGACTCAACTGGATGACTGAGAAAAGACTTGGGAGGAGATTGGTGAAGTTTTAAAAAAGTACTGGCATTGCCAGTGTACCTTTCTTTTCTAAAATCCTTGAACAGGTTACTGTCTTTGAATGTTATTGTCTCTATCTATTCAAAGTTCAGATTAAAAACAAAAGACCAGCAGGAAACTTAAAAATTCAAATAAAAAACTAAGTAAATGATTTGGAGATGCAGAGGCAGGCAATGTGTTGTTGGGAGCTGATGGGCCCCATTGTGGTTTATAGAGACCACAGCTGTAGCAAGTATTGGCTTCTCTAGGAAATCCAGTTTAGAGTTGATGAGCTGGAATCTGAGCTTCGAACACTGCAACATATCAGGGACGGCCAGAGTTAACTGGATGCTGTGTTTCAGGAGGCAGTCATACCCTGTAGGTTAAGTACTTTAAATTTGGCCAATGATCAGGGATAGGAGGGAGTGATTACAAGTAAGGCAGATAGAGGGATCATGCATTTAACATTGAGGCTTCTTCAATGTCTAATAGGTATAAGGTACATGCTGCCTGTGTGGATGAGGAGTTCCATAGGGAGAATGGGCAAACCGACTACTGCACAGTGGTACAGGAGATCATTCAAAGTTGGGGGTGGGGGTGGTGCAAAAAGAAAAGAAAAGTGGTAGGGGGCTTCTATAATTAGGGGTACAGATGGCATCGTTTGTAAGCAGGATCTAGAGTCCCACATACTATAGTACCTGCCTAATGACAAGGTAAGGGACATCTTGAGCCAGCTTGACAGTATATGGGAGTGAGAAGGGAGAGGATCCAATTGTTGTGGTCCATGGTGGGAGCAATGAAACAGCCAAGAGTGGGCAAGATGTCCTATTTGGGGAATATCAGGCATAAGGAACAAAATTAAAGAACAGGACTTCAAGGGTTATAATTTCTGGATTATTACCTGAGCCACATGCAAATTGGCATACAGATATAAAAAAAATTAGGGAAGTAAACGGCTAAAAGCATGGTGCAGGAAAGAGGGGTTTCATTTTGGGGGATACTGGCATCAATATTAGGACAGGAGAGAACAGAGCCAACAGGACAGGCTCCACCTGACTTGATCTAGTGGAAAGGCTAAATAGGTCACCAGAACTTTAAACTAGTAAGAGAGAGAGGGTGCTCAGGAGATGTTATTGCAAGTTTCCAGAACAGGTAATAGGACAGAGTATGGAAAAGGTCAGGAATCTAACTTCAGGTACAGCACATAAGGGGCTAACTACGAGAAGGGAAGCAGTCAACACCGTGCCAATCATTTTAACACAGCATCCTGCTCACATGCCAACTTGTCTGTCCTTAGCATGTTCCAATGCTCCAGCAAAACACAGCAAAAACTGGAGAAGCAACATTTCATCTTCAAACTAAGCACTTTACAACATTTTGGGCTCAATATTGAGTTCAACACCTTCAAATGTTGAACACATTCCTTCCCTTTCTTTTAGCTTTGCCTGTTACTTTCTCTGTTGTCATGTCCTCTCTCCCCTCCCACACTCCAGTTGGCAGTCAGACATTCCATTGTCTGCCATTCTTGTGTTCCAATCACTTGATCTGAACTATCAACATCCTTTCTCCCTCAGCACTCCACCCCACCTCCCAACTATTACGTAAATGCTGCCACCTCCACACTTCAGCTCTGATGAAGTCATCTAGACTTGAAATGTTAGCTTGTTTTCTCTCCCACCTGACCCGCTGTGATCTCCAGCACTTTTTGTTTTGTGTACTTAGGGTATTGTACTTAAATGCTCGCAGTATACAAAGCATGGTAAGTGAACTTGTGGCACAGATTGAAATCGACAGGCACAATGTTGTGGGCATCACAGATGTGGCTCCATTGGGATCAGGGCCAGAAATGAAAAAGGCAAGGATATGTGTCCTATCAAAAAAGGACAGAGAGATGGGCAGAGGGGGCGGGTTGCTTTATCAGCAAGAAATGGAATTAAATCAATAGCAAGAAGCAATATAGAATCAGAAGGGATAGAATTTGTGTGGGTAGAGTTGGAAAGGAAAGAGTTATGTACAGGCATCCTAACAGTAGTCAGGATGTGGGGCAGAAAATAAATCAGCGAGGTGGGAAAGGTATGTAAGAAAGGCAGTATTACAGTAATCATGGGAGATTTCAATATGCGGTGGACTGGGAAAATCAGGTTGGTAGCAGATTGCAAGAAGAATTTGTGGAAGGTCTAAGATTTCTTTTGGAGTAACGTGTGATACAGCCTACTAGGGAACAGGCAATTGTGAATTTGATGACGTGTTACGAAGCAGACTTGATTATGGAGCTTAATGTGAAGGAACCCTTCAGGGGCAGTGAACATAATTTCTTAGAATTCATGCTGCAGTTTGAGAGAGAGAAGCTATAACCTGATGCAATGGTATTACAATTCAGTAATTAATGGTAGCAACAAAGACATGAAGGAGGAGCTGGCCAGAGTTGATAGGTTGGGCAGCCTAGCAAAGAAGACGTTGGAGTAACAATGGCAGGAATTTCTGGGGGTCATTCGAGAGGCTCAGCAGATATTCATCTCAAGGACCAGGAAATGTACTAAGGGGAGGCATAAAAACGAAAGAAAAAGCATACAATGTAATGAAGATTATTGGGAAACCTATAAAAAACAGCAAAGGATAGCTTAAAGAAAAATGAACAGAAGGGTGAGATGGTGAAGTAGGAGGCTGAGATAGCTAGTGATATAAAAGAATATTGCAAGAGTTTTTTCTGGATATGTTAAAAAGTAAGAGGGAGGCAACCACTGAAAAATGAGGCTGGAGAAATAGTGATGGAGAGAAAAGAAATGGCAGAGAGACTGAATAGGTATTTTGTAGCAGTCTTCATCTCTGACTCCATTTATACTTACCACTATCTTGGGAAAGCAACCAACATAATCATAGACCCCTTCCATCCCAGTTATACTCTCTTCCACCCTCTTCCTTCTGCTAGAAGTATTAAAAGTTCATATACAAGTACAAATGGATTCAAGAACAGCTTCTTCCCCGCTGTTATCAGACTTTTGAACGGACCTCTCAAATGTTAATTCTGATCTCCCTCTCTTTGCACCTTTTCTGCAGCTGTAACATTGTATTCTGCACTCTGTTCTGCTAGCCTGATGCACTTTATATAGCACTCGAAATAACACTTTTCACTGTATCTCGGTACATGTAACAACAATAAATCAATTGATCATGGAGGAAAATACCAGCAGCATATCAGAACTTAGAGTCAAGGGGCAGATGTCAGTGTAGTGACTATCCTGAAGGAGAAGGTGCTAGGGAAGCTGAATGGTCTGAAAGTGGATAAATCACCCGGAGGAGGATCCTGAAGGAGATAGTGGAGAAGGTTGGGGCTCAGTTGACTAAATAGCGAGTTTGCAAAGCCAGAGTGATGCCAACTGTGGAGATTCAATTCCTGCACTGGCTGTGGTTACTTTTTATAGAATCCCTACAGGGTGGAAACAGGCCCTTTGGCCCAACTGATCCTCAGAACATCCCACCCAGACCCATCCCCCTGTAATCCACCTAACCTACATATCCCTAAACACTATGGGTAATTTAGCATAGCCAATCCACCTAGCCTGCACATCTTTGGACTGTGGGAGGAAACTGGAGCACCCAGAGGAAACCCACGCAGACACAGGGAGAATGTGCAAACTCCACACAGCCCAAGGCTGGAATCGCACCTGGGTCCCTGGCGCTGTGAGGCAGCAGTGCTAATCACTGAGCCACCATGCTGCCCACTAATGAGGATGCCAGGGATTGAACCCAGGGCCTCATACATGCAAAGCATGCGCTCTATCACTGAACTACATCCCCTACACCCATGAAGGATTCACCTTCTGAACCTCTCCCCTCACCCTAGGTATGGTGGCCCTCGGGTTAAATCATACATCAGACATCTCTCTCTCTCTCTATGAGAGGGCAGCCTTATGGTCTAGTAAGACTATGGTAACACAACAGCAACAGCTGAGGAGATTGTAGAGGGATTGGTGGTGATTTTCGACCTTCCTGGACTTCAGTGATCTCTCAGAGAGGACTGGAAAATGGCTAATGAAACACCCATTTAAGGGGGAGGCAGAAGACAGATAATTATAGGCCAGTTAGTCTGATCACAGTCTTTGATAAGATTTGAGAGACTATTATTAAGGATGACATTGCAGAGTATTTGGAATTGCATGGTAAAATAGGGCTGAATCAGCACAGCTTCATCAAGGGGAGGTCATGGCTAACAAATCTATTTGAATTCTGAGGTAAGGAGAAGGTTTGACAAAGGACAGTTGATGGATGTGATCCATTTGGATTTCCAAAAGGCCTTTGACAAGAGTCCACACAGAAGCCTGCTACATGAGAGCCCATCGTGATGAGGGCAAGGTATTGACATGGATAGTGGACATGGATTGGCTGACTGGCAGAAGGCAGAGAGTGGGGATAAAGGGATCTGTTTCAGGATGGCAGCCATTGATGAGTGGAGATCTACACAGGGTCCATGTTGGGACCACAACTATTCACATTATACATTAACGATCTGGATGAACGAACTGAGGGCATTGTTGGTAAGTTTGCAATATGACCCAGATAGATGGAGGGCTAGGCTGTGTTGAAGAAGTGGGGAGATGGCAGAAGGATTTGGACAGGTTGGGAGAGTGGGCAAACAAGTGGCAGATGGAATACAATATGGGAAAGTGTGAGGTTGTGCACATTGGTAGAAAGAATAGAGGCACAGACTATTTCCTAAATGGGGAAAGGCATCAGAAATCTGAACCACAAAAGGGACTTGGAAAATCCTAATTCAGAATTCTCTTAAGGTTGACATGCAGGTTAGTTGGCAGTCAAGAAAGCAAATGCAATTTTTGTATTTATTTTGAGAGGGACAGAATGCAAGAGCAGGGATGTACTGCTGAGGCTGTGTAAGATCACATTTGGAATATTGAGAGTAATTTTGGGCCCCGTATCTTAAGGAGGATGTGCTGGCATTGAAGGGGATTCAGAGGAAGTTCACAAGAATGATCCTGGAGATGAAGGCCTTGTCATATCAGGAGCTGTTGAGGACTCTGGATTTGTACACAATGGAGTTTAAGAGGACGTTGGGGAGGTGGTGGGGGGCATCTTACTCAAATTTACAGAATACGGAGAGACCCGAATAGAGAGGATGTGGCGAAGATGCTTTCAGTGGTAGGAGAGATGAGATGCAAGGCCACATCTCAGGGTGAAGCCACAATACTTTAGAATTGAGACGAAGCAGAACCTCTTCAGCCAGGGATTGATTAATCTGTGGAACACATTGCCACAGAAGGGTGTGGAGTCCAATTCATTGGGTCTATTTAAGACAGAGATAGATAGGTTCTTGATCAGTAAAGAGCTCAAAGGTTGGGGGGAAAATACAGGAGAATGGGGCTGAAAAAACATTAGTCTCGATGAGCCAAATGGCCCAATTTTGCACCCGTATGTTGTCTTGTGGATTCCCAAATCCATACCCATCTTGCCTGAAATTGCACAATTCTCCTCAATTTAATTCTCCATCTCTGTCACTTTACTCACCACCCTTTACCCCCCCCCCCCCCAACCAAATACTAAATGGCTCTCATAAATTGCATTCCATGTGCCTATAATCATAAAAAGCTAGTTTTTTTTAATTTATTGTGATGTTGCTGCAGTCTCTGACACAACGGACATCAGTAACCTCTAATGTCTCTCCTCTATCACCCAAGCAAGTGAATCTTGCCTGGTTCAATCCTTGTCTGGTGAATCATAACCAGAAAATCACATTTGCTTTCTATTCTCTCACCAATACCTCTGGAGTCCAATGTAGATTCACCCTCAGGCGCACCTAGTATTACTTATTGTTATGCTTCTATTCACTGACAGCATCATAAACACAATAGGTTCCACATACTGTTGCCAACTCTCAGCTATATCTCTCCCTGGTTTCTGATTTGTTATGCTGCTTTGAGAATCAGCCATGGATTAGTAGAAACTTCCTTCCACTAACCATAAGGAAGACCAAAGACAATGTATTTGGTCTCCATTTTTTTTTGATCTCCATTCAGTTATTCTATTCCAATTTTTCAAGTGCATCGACTCTCAGCTCTGGAAATCTCTCCCTATAAATCTTTGTGCCTCACTGTGTTAAGATTTTCCATGAAAACTGGCACACAAAAGGCTGCTACATAAGTTAAAGGTACACAATGTTACAGGTAATGTATTAGCACGGATAGAGGATGCGTTAACTAACAGAAAGCAAAGAGTGGGGATAAATGGGTGTTTTTCTGGTTGACAAATCAGTGGCTAGTGGTGTGCCTTAGGGTTTAGCATTGGGGACCAAGTGTAGTGTGTCAAAATTCACAGATGACACTAAGATTAGCGGTAAAGCAGTGTGCAGAGGGCACTGAAAGTCTGCAAAGGGATATAGATAGGTTACGTGAGTGGGCAGATGGAGTACAATGTTAATAAATGTAAGGTCATCCATTTTGGTAGGAATAACAGAAAAATGGACTATTATTTAAATGGTGAAAAATTGCAGATGGTCCTGGGTGTCCTTGTGCATGAATCACAAAGCTGGTTTGCAGGTGCAGCAAGTAATTAAAAAAGGCAAATGGAATCTTGTCCACCATTGCTAAAGGGATGAAATTTAAAAACAGGGAAGTTGTGCTGCAGGTGTTTAGGGTGCTGGTGAGGCCACACCTGGAGTGCTGTGTAGAGTTTTGGTTTCCTTGCTTGAAAAAGGATGTGCCGGAGTGGGTGCAAAGAAGGTTCACTAGGTTGATTCCGGAGTCGAGAGATTTGCCTTATGAGTACAGATCAAGCAGACTGGGACTATACTCATTGGGATGTAGAAGACCAAGAGGAGATCTTATTGAAACTTATAAAACTGTGAAGGGAATAGATTAGAAATAGGGAGGTTGTTTCCACTGGCAGGTGAAACTGGTACTAGGCAGCATAGCCTCACAGCAAAGGGGGAGCAGTTTTAGGACCGAGTTGAGAAGGAACTTCTCCTCCCAAAGGATTGTGAATCTATGGAACTCCCTACCTAATGAAGCAGTTAAGGCTACTTCGTTGAATGTTTTTAAGGCAAAGATAGAAAAATTTTTGGACAGTAAAGGAATTAAGGGTTATGGAGAGCAGGTGGGTAAGTGGAACGGAGTCCACAAAAAGATCAGCCATGGCCTTATTGATGGCCCAGTTCTGCTCCTATTTCTAATGTTCTTTTATTCTTAAGTAGTTAACTGCTTCAGTGTTTGTTCATCTTCCTGAAGTCTTTCTGTGGCTCTGTATTGAGACTATTTATGAAATACCTTGGGATGGCTTTTTACATTATAGATGCTATACAAATACAAATAAATAACTTTTGCTAACATGTAAAGCAAACATACAAAATAACAAAAAAAATTGTTGCAAAATGATTTCCTGTTTGGAAGTATTTTACGATACGCTATAGACTGATGCATCTTTAACAAATGTATGTCTAAAATGTAAATGAATGACCCTTGCTTTAGGAAAGCAAGAGCTAATTTTAAGAATAAAAATCCATCTAAAGTGAACAAAATGTTCTATTTCTATAGTATTTTTTATCCAACAAATGTTGGACTTCAAGCAAACAAGACAAATTATAGTACTTACTCAATGTGTGGTACAGTAACCAATTAGAATGACAACTCCTGTCGAAACTCTGCTATTGCCACAGCATTTTGAGAATGCAAAGGTAGGAAATAGTATGACTTTGAATCTTTAACCAAAGTGTCAACACTTACGTTCATCCAAAGTGAAATCAACGTCTAGGTTTGAGCTGACAAGTGGCAAAAAACATGCATGCCACTTAAGTGGTGGGCAACGAATATCTCCAAGAAGAGATTAATCAATGTCATTAACATCACTGAATACCCTATTATCAACATTCTGAGAGTTGCCATTGACCATATATATATATACTTCCCAAAGTCTGTCCACCATCTGCAAGGCACAGGTCAGGAGTGTGACGGAATACTCACCACTTGCCTGGATGAGTGCAGCTCCAACAACACCCAAGAAGCTTGACACCAGCTAGGACAAAGAAGCCAGTTTGATTGGAACCACATCCACAAACATTCAACCCCTGCACCACCAATAGTGGATAGAGAAGAAGGTTATCAAAGAAAACAGAGATATTGATCAATTAGGTTAAATGGGCTGAGGAGTGGCAAATGGAGTTTGATTTGGATAAACGCCAGGTATTGCATTTTGGTAAAGCAAACAAGGACAGGACTTACACAATTATAAGCAGGGCCTTGGGTAGTGCTGTAGAACAGAAACACTCAAGGATTCAGGTACATAATTCTTTGAAATTTGCATCACAGGTAGATAGGTTAGTTAAGAAAGCATTTAGCATGTTTGCCTTCATTGCTCAGACATTTGAGTATTGGAATTGGGGGCATCATGTTGAGGTTGTACAGGACGCTGGTGAGGCCAATTTTGGTTGCCCTGTTATAAGAAGGTGATTATTAAACTGGAGAGGGTTCAGAAAAGATTTACCAGAATGTTGCTGGGAATGGAGGATGAGTTATAAGGAAAGGCTGGGACTTTTTGTACTGAAGCATAGGAGATTCAGGTGAGCTTATAGAAGTTTATGAAATCAGAAGGGGTAAAGATAAGGTTATTGGCATGTGTTTTCCTAAAGGTGGGGAATTTCGAGACTTGGGGGCATTTTTTTTAAGGTGAAAGGAGAAAGTTTCAAAAAAGACACGAGGGGCAATTTTTAAAAATAAAACACAGTTGTCCATGTGTAGAATGAACTTCCTGAGGAAGTGGTGGATGCAGGTACAGTTATAACATCTAAAAGACAT